AGCAATGATAATTCGAAAATTATTAGCGTCTTGATGCTACATCCACTTTTTATTCTATAGTACGCGTTAGTACTGCAGCAAGAGATCGATAAAAACCAAACAATGGCAACCAAAACTTACATTTTACAAAATTAACATAAAGTATAATAACCAATTTTTAATAACAAAAACAGTCTCATTTAACATTAACATAATGATGCAAAGAATGGGAAATATAATACAATGAATGCGGACTGGCCTGGTGCATCATTAATTTGGCGCGGTATCACGGTAAGTAACACTTATAAGCCGGTTAACTCATATTTACTTGACTGTGCGCCAAGACCAGGATATCCTTTTTTTCCTTCGGGAATCGAAGTTCGCGACCCGCGATTCGAGCTGACTCCAATTCGCGTTCGGCTTGATTTAATTCCCGTCGTAAAGCACCTTCACATTCTTGTTCACGCGCAATCCAATCGAGTGCCATTTGCGATCTCATGTCATCGTCAAGGGCGCGATTGGAATAATGCGCTACCACTTCCTGTCGACTGCACTGACGTTCCCGCATCGCTTTCAGACTTCCGTTCCAATGCAAAAGTTGAAACACAGTCATCAGCTCTTGAAATTCTAACATCGTCCTGCCCTTATTCGATTCGAGCATGAAGCGAAACGCACCAATTCCGGTATTGGGGTTGTCCGCTTCTTCCGGGTCGCCTTTAAAAGATGACCGCGCCTCGGCAACCGCCTTTTCGATAAAGTCGTCAGAAATTCGCCGAGAAGGGTGCTCGTTAAATACGGAATTCATTAAAGCTATTTTGGCCGCACTACGACGAGCTTCTGCTTTCGTGGGACAATTCTTTAGGGGAAAAAATACGATTAAACTGAAAGTCTAACGTGAGTGTGAACTAAAAAAGCAAATACATTAACAGGTTCGGTAAGCGATGTTGACAAAAAACACGAACTATGTTTGACTTGAAAATGTTTACTTAGAGCGTTACCTGAAAGCTTCCAAAGCAGGATCCTCCAGGAAGGGTCACGTAGCATACGTAAGGTTGGGCGTTCGAAGGTACGGATTCGTAGATAACAAGTGCACCATTTCGAAGATCGGCACCCCTGGCTTGCTTCATCTGCCAGAACTCCTGCAGGGTCTCCACCACGTTCACTGCAACAAGAAGTTACAGCCTCAGAACGCATCCCCTAAAACGGATTACCTGCTCTCATCGCTAATGAATCTAACTGACTGATTTGATAGTAAACGGGACTCGTAAATAATAAACGTATTGTTAACGCAAATGTATAAACGCGACTACCGTTGACATCTTTGTAATGTTAAGCGCCAAAACAAAGCATTGTGTGCTGCTGATTATAAGTGGCAGTGAATTCAGCGGCAACCTTTGCGTCTGCTCGAAGCCAGTTTTTAAACTTTTAATGGTCCAAGTTACAGTTCAAACTAAATTTATGCTGCATACACAACTTTTTGCTGTCTGGCTATGTCATGTGAGATGCCTCAGCGGTCTGCGCCCCGCTCGCATCGCCCACTGTTAAACATCGCGAACATGCAAGATACACTATGGATGTCACTCCCACCCGCAGTCGCGGCCAGCTATTTTAATTGAATTTACACGGTGCATATTGACAACAAGTGTACCGTTCTTGTCGCAACTGCTTCAAGAGGACATTTATAATTACCGGGGGCCGTATTTCGTTCGAGCTAGCAAATTTGCAACGGTTACGTAAAGCGTATGCAGTTTGTCGTATTTTGTGATGATGCACTTACCGCGGTAACCCATGTCATCATACAGCTGTAACATCGAGGACGTGGGGCAGCTCCACTGCGGGTCCGGGTACACCATCATATCAGAGGCCGGCACTTGGCCGGCGGGTTCAAGGATGCGCCGCGTAATGAGATCGCGGCTCGCACATGCACTCTTCATCAATGAGCACTGCACTTCTGCGCGCGTTGCATGTTGTTGCTATGGCAGTGGCAACAGCACCGGCTTCTCCCCGGCTCGCTCCACTGCCTGTGCCGCACCAGCGATTCGCAACGATCTCCCTAAACTTGCTTGCTCTTACACACCGTTCGGCTAAACCTCGACGGGACGAAGACAGAGCACCGTCGAGACAAGAAGCTGACCGGATTGGCAGCTGAAACGGAGAGGTCAGAACGCCGCTCCTTTGTGCCAGAACGAGACCTCCGAATCAATATAAGTTGCCTGACAGAATTCTCACGAGAAAGAGGACGGCACTTCTGGTATTTCAATTGCACTACCAGCATTTAAAGCTAAATAGGTTTGTAAAGCACACCTCCGACTTCGATAGTAACATCCGCAAAAGCGTCCACCGGGGAGCCCGTAACACAATACAACCTTGCGATACCAATACTACGATTATCAGACCGAAGTTCGATCGCACAACAGATATTTGCACACTACCGATGTTCTAGTGCCACTGACGGCGAGGTGCGGTGCAATCAATGGTAGCGGATACCCGTCTCTTTGCCCGCCGTGCCCCAATATCGTTTATCATAGGAAATCGATTAAATTTGATTGTTCGAACTCGATTAAGTATACGCCACGCACAATCACCAACTCCATTCTTTTATCTAATTAAGAATTTTTATTAATTTACTCCGCACTAAAACGGTACCCGCTCCTCGTCTACCTCATTACTATTCATCGATAATCCCACAATATCGCAAAAGTATCATGCGTTGTTGTACTTTTAATACCTTCAAATTATCAAAACCGGAATTAACGCAAAGTGGTTGACGAATTAATTTCGCGCACCTCGGCGACGAAATTACAATTACAAATTGACTTTCTACGTACCCCATTATTATTTATATATACAAACATATCCCCGTTTTCCTTTCGTAAATTTACGCCGTTATTGAAATAACTTCTCGATATAAATTGTTTTATCTTGCGCAGGCCACATTTTATATTTAGTACAAAAAGTCGGTCATTGAAATCAGGTTTCGTTGCTCTTCGCTCATTGAAATCTCTTATTTAACAATTCAAAATTAAAATAGATTACTTCGTATTTTCTGGTACTTCCTTTATGTGGGTGGGTAGCACATTCACAAAGTTCTTTGCAAACCTTGACGCACCCCCCGAGTAGATTTTTATTTCCGCAAATAATACCAAAGTTAGTATAGTCTGGGTCGTGTGCGTATTTGCATGAATTTAAGAAAATCGGTCAATATTAAAGGTGCCCATTCAAATTAATAAGTGCGAAATACTGGTTCGATATTAAATAAAACTAGCTGAAAGTGATCGATTTGGAAGCAAGAAATGTCATTTCTTCCCTTACGTCGGAGGTGCCTGGACTGTTCGTAGAATTTCCACTATACGCTGACCCGATTATGTCGATGGTCAAGTCACCGACCATGGACATTACGCCGAATAGTCTGCTATGGGCAGAACGCCGATCATGGCCCCATAACCGAGGGTCACTTGCATAGATCAGCGAGCTTAGGCTGTCTTTAGTTCGCGTGATATCACCAAGGTAGGCCAGGATGAAGTAGGGGTGCAGGTATTCTTCTAGGTGGAAGCTTACGAAAAACGAGGACCATCAGATCATTATCTCTCGCTTTAAATCTACAAATAATTTTTGCATTGTTCTGTTTTATTAGCTCATTTCCACAAAAATAAAAAAAATGCGCTATTGTGGCCACTTTGTTTTTCAAATGCTTTTGAAGGTGTTTAGCTATATTAGTCAATCATCTGCACTTTTACCGAACAATTCGTCTAGCTACAGTGCTGTAACTTTGCAGTACATTGAATATGTTTTGTTTCCTCGTTGAGTTTGTTTCAGGGTTGTAACCAGAGGGGGTTGAAAATAAACCTACAGTCTTTGGTCTTTGACTTAGGGGAAAAAGTTGCATTTTTCGATTTTTGGATAAAAGTCTATAATTTCTTTGCTTATTAAGTTATCGGAAATATGATTGTTGAATAAGTATACGGTCACCGAGTAAAAAAGTTATCGGACCTCATTTTTTAAATGGAATACCGTGTATATTTTAGTCTAAACAGACAGCATACAAAATTCTCTTTTCAAAACTATATGACATCAGATATGATAAAAAAAGATTCAAGGGATTCAAACAAATTTTAAAAAATACAAAAAATTGTGAAATGTTTGAAGAAAAATAGGCTAAAAAGACCAAATCAGCCATTCTTTAGTGAAACATCGAATACGTTTGTAGCTTGTTGATTGGCGTCACTGTTGAAAATGATGATAATTCACAGTACTCGAATAACCAAACATTGCAACTGTTGCATATAGCTTCTACGTTTTTTAAAGAGCTTCCTTTTGATCATATAAAAGTTTGAAAACATTTTGAGATATACTCGATGTTGCAAACCAAACTGGCCTTGTCTTTTATTACTGAGTTATGGACAAAAGTTGTTTAGTGTACAAACGTTTGTTTGTAATGGTTGTTACATAATCTGCCGTTTGAAATATAAGTATACGGAGTCAGGTAAAAAAGTTATCGGATCTAACCTCATTTTTTAAATGGAGCAATTCAAAAAAATTCAAAAAGTTTTTGAAAAAAATTACAAAAATTGGCAGGGTCGCATAAACCGTGATTTCCGTCTTTATCTTTCAAATTAGCTGAGATACACTGCAGTTTCAACCAAAATAGGACATACTGTACAATTTCAGTATTGTTTGCAAAGTACAAATGTCACCCAATTTTGAATAACGTAATGAGAAGTTTTGAATCTCAATACATTTCTTTCTTTTGAAACAATGTTCCGTTTTCAATGCTATAAAAATCCAACCCTAATTTTTACATAAATGGAAAACACTCTTGATGAAAATGTAGTTACTATTTAAATTTGGTCAGTGTTTCCAAATTTAATGTGACATTGAAACACCTCTTATTACTCAGTTGTAGTAACAAGAAGAGACGACCCTCAGCGAAAATGTACCTAATACGTGTAAATTAGGTGTAGGTAATGGTTCTTGTTGTTTGCAATGCAAATTTATATGTTTATAAATTAATTACACCAGAATAAAAATCTTTTTTTATTAATAAAGAAATTTATACAAATTTGCTAAGTGTATTAAAAATACACGTTACATACAGTTTAGTGGTAATCATATAAAAAGGAATGTCACATCAGCCATGACCCATAATCCCTTATCCATGATACTAAACGCATATTAGGCGTTGGAAAAATCGCCCATTGTGTTCAGTTTTTCCACATTATCTTAGGTAATTTACTAAAACTTAATTTCAGATGCCCGTGCAGTGGAGGAATATGATTACCGCTATATTCCAGTAGCGCACCATTTAAACATACTTTGGGGTTTCGGTACGTGTTTATTCATAGATTTTAATAATTACCTAAGAACAGTGATTATACGTGTTAATTATAAATAATTATACTTCATCCACTTGCATAAATTCATGGAATGCGATTCTAATGATTTGTACTTACTTTTACGTTGGACATCTTGGCAGAACCATTAATTATTAACATGACTGCTGCATACACCTCTAGGCATATTGCATAACGTGTCATGTTTTGTTTATATCTAACTTTTGCACGCCCGTGTACATATAAAACAGAAAACCATGATCGTTATTTATTGTCTAAGACCCCTTTATTGCTATCGAGCGTGGTTTTCCTATTTGCCCGGTTTGAATTTTGACTGTGCTCTGGCACATTCCTCCACTACACGGACTTCTGAAATGAAGTTTACAACCTGCAAAAGCTATGCACACTATATTAGGCAGGAATATTGATTAGGTACGCTTTGGTATTGGCACACTTGGTATATTCTAGTGACAAAATTCAGACTAAATCATTTGGTAGTACCGAAATGGGATTATCTTTTCCAACTTCTAAGCTCAACCTTTCGTCCTTTACTTGAAACCACTTTTTGTGGAAGACCTTTCTAAGTTTGAAAATACCGTATGTCAAAATGTGCAGGAAGACCACGAAGACGCACACAACTACACATACGATTGCTGTCATCTCTCCTTTGCTCCAATTTAAAATAGGGTAAATTGCCGGCGTCTGGTCCCTAAAACCAACTTGACATTTTATGCGGGGGTTAAATTTCTATCCCAAGTACGTACTTGCCAGTTCCTCCCGAAAAGTAGTATATAATAGTAAAACAAATGTAGCAACCTCCAAAGATTAATGGCCAGTAAAAATGAATCAATCGTACGGGATGCCTTGCTACGCATAATTCGATGAACATTATCACAGAGTTGAAAGCGTGAACAATAATATTCACAGCGCTTAACGGCACATATTTCGCTGTAAATAACGTAAGAATTTTAAAGCCATATTAATAACTTTAAGTGTGAGTAAAATAATAACTCGTTTCCGGATTGCATACTAAAACAATGCGTTTATTCCTACAACAGGAATTCTCCCAGAATTCAATCCAACAATGCGGAACAGAGTTAATAACTTTTAACAAAGATTAAACAACCTTTTAGTTACCTACCATCATAAAGTAAAGTCCAGTAAACGATTGTGATTCCAAACGCTATATCTGTTGCAATAATGTTCGTAACCCAATAGACTTTATATAGTCCGAGGATTTTATGATCTTGACTGGTCGATGTTTCTGAAACGAAAATAATGATTTCGATTGTAAGAACATAGACCATCTTACCAGAATCGTGCGATGGAACCGAATAGCATATGGTTACCATAGTGGTACTCAAAAGTGATTGTATCGTACACATCGTAAAACCCCAATTAGTAAGATATATTAACCACTTTGCGTGATTAAAATTTGGCTCATTTAAATGAGGTATGTCAATGATCGACACCACCCAACTGACAATAAAAAATATGGTTATTGCCCACTTATAGATTAAATATAGTAAAGTTGGTTTGGAACTTGTTTGCCACTAAAAATAATACAATTTATAGTTAATAGACTTCATGGTGTCTACAGAATGTAAGGTAATAAATGATTACACCATTATGTGTCGTATTTACGGCTAAACCATTTTGTCTATTTATAAATTTTAAACACTAGCTAATTCCTAACAGCAGCTACCAGCAAAAGACCTCCGCGCAGTAAAATAACCAACAATTTTCTCCTACTCCAGTGGTGAAAATCATAAGAGAAAGCTTCAAACCACAAAAGATCTTTAAAACTGGAAAAATATGGTCAAGCTTAAGCACTTAAATGTTATTTAAAATTGGGAAATGAGCCGATGTACAACGATGATTCATCCACTTCTTATTGAGTTAGATAACGGGAACACTTTCATTCAGAAGGTCATAAAGGCATAAAACCAAAATTACTAGACAATTATAATTTAAAATCCAACAACACCGTCTTAATGTTTTTTTAGGATTTCAAGTTGCTAAGTAACTACAAGGTTAATTAAGTATCTACTTTTGTTTTATGCGTATGTCCTAGTATTTTGTATGGGAATAATTATTTTCCCAACAAGTATAGGTATTGAACAAGCTATAAGGTCACATTATGCTTGACAACTCCGCCGTAAAGTGTACATTAAATGATAGCAGCGAATAAAGCCCGACATCCAAGGTAGTGATTATAGTAATTGCGATTTTTGAAAATAATGAAAAACCGACCTTTTGTTATTAACAAATGATTGTTTTTCATTAGAAGAGCAACGTTCATGCTCAAAAATGGCTTGGGAATTGTTATCCAGACTCTGTTCTATTGAAATAAATTTGTGGCTGAAGTTCTCCAGGTGATGTACCCAAGTAATCCCCATGAAAAGTCAATAATTAAAAGTGCGTTAAGGTTGGTGATAAGTTTTTCATTTGCTTCCAATGGAGCAAAAACATCAACGTATCGAATATGCATGGCGCTGTGGGCGATGCTTAGTCGAAATGTGTTTTACTCCGGAATCAAATTAGAGAGCCTCTGGTGAAAGCCGTCCGAATCGTTAGGTTCTGCACTTTGGATCAAAGGTCCATGGAAAGACATTTGGAGAATGTCCTGTAAAAAAAAGTAAATCTGCAAGGTATTGATGATACCAATAATGGTAACATTGAAAATTAATCTCTTCCTCTAGACTGCATCCTAGGTAAAAACCCAATCAAAATCTTCACTCAACAGCTGTGGCGTAGGAGCCATTCAACGAAAGTGGTCTAAAAATTATACAAACCTGACTTATAACTAAGAAATAAAAACTTCACCCTGTCCGCAGTCATAATTATTCGAACAAATTAAGATCGTCGTTTAATTTAAGTGCTAGAGGCAGGTTGTAGCGAAGTGTACAAATTTTGACATTTATTTTCTCAATAAAAATCATTTTAACATTAATTTTCTGTTAATTTGGTCATAAATATTAATAAAAAACAGCAGACTCATCAATATATTTACTGTAGCTGAATATTCTATAGCATTTCAAATATTAAAATTAATATTAAATACGGTACTTACTTGTGAAAGCACGAATACTGTCGGACGGCGATATTCCATAGAATACTGCGCGGTAGTAAATTTCTTCTTCCATAGCTCGAGCATGTTTCTGAAAAAAACACTAAAATAAATGTCACTTTTATGACCAAGGTAACATAACATAACATCTAAAGCTCATGTCAGCCTTATTATAGTTATTAATTCCACACCACGAAGCATACGTACTTCCTTTAAAGGAAGTTTTATCTCATTGGCAATTCCCACACACATCAGAGCGAAAATGAAATTTCCCAATTTGTACCAAGGTATTGAGAAAATTCTCATAGCGCACATATCAAATTGATCAATTACCGGCTATTGCTATTATAATTCAAGTGCACAAAGGGTTACGATGATCGACATTAATGTGGGAATGTTAGCTCTGACTGATTATATGTAGGAATAGCAAATAAATAAATCTCAAAGATCTGATCGTGACAATTAGGTCAATTTCGTGGTTTTAATTGACCCTATTAAAAGATGTCGTGTTCAGATATTAGATAAAAAGTTGTTTTACTGTCTTTAAATGTGGTATTAAAATATTTCTCTTAATCACGGATAACTTTTAATTAACATAACTTCTCGGGATTCACACAAGTTTGCCGTTTCAAAAATTGAAAGCGGAAGCAAAAGGCTTCTATTTACAGTCGCTTAATTTTGGAATACACTCTGCACTCAATAAAAGCAGAAGAACAAGATTGTTGGCGTTTCCGTTAAGTTTAACGATGTTCAAAGATTTGTCATGTTTTTTTCCCGTTTCGGATTGGATAAATTCCAAACTGCAATCCACAGGTTGGAAATATAACAAAAAATATTCCCTCATTATTCTTTAGGAACCGATTTTTAATCAAAATACGCCTGAATGTTCAGGAAATGTATGATTTTTGGTTAAAATTATTTTGTTCTTGTAATATAAATGAAATCTTAGCTTATTTATGCGGCCCGATTAGACAATGAAATTTACCCTATAGGAAGACTTAATACCATTGTATTTATAAATACAATGCTTGTTTTAAATTTTCTGCTGCTGTTGCTGGTTGTTGCCGCTCTTTGACGCTGACCACGCTCCAGTAGAGACGACTGGGTCGATTTTAATAATGATCTGTCCTTGAACTGGGCTGAAGTGGCATCTGTGCCTTTGAATGTTTAGCCAGAAAAAGGGCCTTTTATCCTCAAAATTAAAAAAAAGGGGTGGAAATCGAGTTACCATGTCCATAAACTTCAGGGCCCAAACAAGACTTCATCTTGGGGGATTATTGTTTACGGGTTGCGTTTTGGGTGTGTTTGATATACAAATTTATGAACGTTTTTCATGCGTATTTGATTTATTATTTGATTCAAATGGCATCTACTAATTAAAATGCATGATAATTTTACAAGTTTACATTATACCAAAGAGTAACTAATAATTATTCTTTGATTATACCATGTTTATTCGATGTTTCATTATTACTGTTTTATATTCATGCAAAAGGAAAGTATTTCATTTGAATTTGTTGAGAATGTAGACGGCAACCCATGGGCTCAATTTATTGGAACACTCCTGCGTACGACATGGAAAATCGCAGCTACGTACCTACCTTGGGGTATCGTGCCGTTTCGACCTCGGACGTATTTTTAGCGCATTTTTGCAAAATTTTTTTTTTGTAAAAAGTAGCTTTTAATCTCACTTTGGCTGGCTGGCTGGCTTGGCTGGCTGGCAGTAAATGCGCGCCCGTAGAAAAACGCTTGTAAAAAGACAAGGAGTGTACATGTAACTATCGGGCCGTGTAATTAAGACGTTAGGGATGGGGCTACAAGATTTGGAGTCGACGACATCTGGACGCCATCCCCGAGCGTATTATACTAACCTGGAGATTTTTCAGTTTTTATCTATCTTCTTCTACAGTTTTTCTCCGATTGTTTTCAAATTGGTGTCGTCGGGAAGATCTTGTCAACGCGCACAACTCCTGCGTGGCGGAATTTGTTTTTTTTTCCTAGGGGCGAAATAAACCACCTTTTGCGCGGCGCGCTTCGAGGGGTAGTCGACTTTGGGCGCCCAAAAGTTTCTTACAGCGCGAAATCGCGGTCTCTCTTTCTCGTGTCACTAATAGAAGGTCGAGCTATGTGAAGTACCCAAAAGTTGAATACGATTTTATGCCGGGATTTTAGCGAAATCTACCAAAATGTGAATTACGAATGAACGGGACGTCGGAACTGTGTATCGACAAAGGGAATGTGGTAACCCCCGACGAGATCTTACTGATGGTGGAGTCAAAACTTCAAACGCGAATTGCGAGTGCACGGTAAGTGAGAAAATGGTACCGACAAAGTGAACGTGGTAGCTTTCGGCAAGATCTTATTGATGGTGGAGTCAATAGTGGTAAAACACTGATCTGCCACACAAAAATGCGCTGAAGTCCCTTCGATCTCACACGAGGACTTTGATAATTTTTTTAAATTGTCTGCCAGTTGGCAGGTTCTTAGGCTCCTCCATAACTCCCGATCCCTTGCCTCTCTCTGCATCCCCACATAGCCCTTCTTCAGATCATCAATCCATTTCTTTTTTCTTCATCTTCGCTTCCCTCCGCCTTCCATCGATTCCTCTAATCCGCCCCTTAACATTCCTTCACCCCTCAACACGTGGCTTATCCAGTTTCCCTTAATATTGCTTAACAGTTGTCTTTCTTTTCCTGCTGTTCTTAATACTTCCTCATTTCTAACCTTATCACTTCATTTTATATTTAACAGCCTCTTTCAAATCCACATCTTGAATGCTTCCAGTCTCTATAATTCTCTTTTATTTAATGTCCATGCCTCACACCTATACAACAGAACACTCCAAACCTGGGACTAATCTTACGGTATTTTGCGTACACGCAAGAACTAGAGACGAATGGTCACACCCCCGCCTTCACCCTTACCGCCCTCAGCACACCACACCGAACGAACCCAAAGTTACGTGCGGACGTTTATCCTTTCTCTTCAACCTTTACCAAATGCTGTCTGATTGTTACGAAACTGTTTATTTAGCGTTGCTCTATTTTAACTGTAGAGGGCTGAGGATTAGCACAAATCCGTACGGTCGACCTGCGGCCGAATCCCAGACTCGTAATTAGGAGTATTAGGACGAAGCAGCAAAGGTGGCAGGTATTCTTCTAGGTGAGACCACCAAATTATTATTTAAAATAACTGTAAGTTTATGTTTTTAAAGTTATTAATTTACAAATGATTTTGTGTTATTTTTGTACGTCAATACTCTGTGGTTAAATTGTTCGATACGATCAGTAAATGGAGCTACACTGTTACATAACGATTCGTCTATTGGAGTGTTTGTCGTTTTTACTGTACTTCAAATTTTATCGTTTGATTTTGTTTACAAGTTCCAGAGCCCATAAGTACACTGAAAAGTATAACCCCTTTCCGTTTCAAAAATTCAAAAAGATTTTTTAAATAAAAACTCACTTTTACATAACTATTTCTGTATTCATCTATTGTATGAGTCGTCACTTTTATGGCACTTCAAATATGTCTGCTTTACTTTTAATTTTGTTTACAGGGTCCATAAGACACTCTTTAATTACCCTTTTCGAGTCGAAAAAATACCAACTTTTTCGAAAAGTGGCTTTTTCATAATTCGTCTATTGCGAGGATTGTAATTTTTGTGGTACTTCAAGCATTTTTGCTTTCTAGGTTGACTTTGTTTACCGAATCCACAAACCACGCTTTAATTGCACATAAAGGTATACCTTCTTCTCGTTACAAAAAATATAATTTTTTAAATAAAAACTTAGGTATATATTTACATACCTAACCATTCGGAGGGCGGTTATTTTTAAGATATATTACACTCGTATGCCCTATGTTGAGTAGGTAAATTTATATTTTTTGTAAGAAACCATGAACCATAGGTTCCGGTGGTGGGGGTGGGGGGCAAGATCACGTGCTAGGTGGGGGTGAATCCCGTCTGGTCAGTACGGGTCTTGCCCAACTTCCAGTATTTTCCTCGCTGTTAGACTTAGAAGGACATTTAGATCTATAGGGATGGCTTCTAGGTAGACTACCGTTTATACAAGAAAATTGACAAAAATTGGTCCAAATAGACGTAGAAACTTAACTCCCAAGGGAGCCTATGTGTGCTGTTCCTCCAAATACCTTAACCGCTGACTGAGACCGATATGGCGTGCTGGTTATCATCCCTTGTAGCCGGATATTGATCGATATATGATCGAATTTGGTACTCAATATGCAATACAAATATGTAGTATTAAAAACAAGTGTCGGAGTGGGTTCTATTAGATTAGATGTCATTTGGGGATTCTCCTAGTACGTGTCAAATGTAGCTACGCAGAATTGTCAGTAGATCTTCAGTAATGTGAATTCCCCATTAAACAACACTCCGAGGCAATTTTTATAAATGAAAATAAACTGCGTATTTAAATGAAAATAAACTGCGTATTTTCTGCATTTCTTTGTATTGTTAAAAATTTGTTTGACGTATAGAAAAATTAAACGTAAATGTGCGAAATATCATTATACTGTTGAAAAATTATAGCAAGACGGTTGGTGAATACCTCAGCAGCACATATTCCGGTAGATTATTTATGGCCGTGTTTAGTATTTAAAACTATTAAAAAGCAGCAAAATCGTGACTCGTTAGTTCCCACTTGCTTTTAACTACTTTAAATCGAACTGATAAGCTGTTATTATCTTGTTAAAGAACATTATTGGTGCTGTATATATTCTGATGGTTTTAATCCTATCTGGGAGGAGTAAGAAGATGCGATCGCGGTTCCATAACGGAGCCAAAAAGCTCGCGTTGCCATATTTTCACACCGAGTTGAAAGTATTTTTAGTTGAATTTCGACCACTAAAAAGCTGTTTAATATTTACGTAACACTAATTTCTTCTTCAACATGACGATCACGACCCACGTCAATTAGTAAGATTGGGCATTCATTATGAAGATACCGTATATCTGTGTATTCGCTTGAACTTTAAAGGGACCGGAAGCGCGATTTTGTCATGCACTACACTTTAGGTAGTCTTAGAAAAAAAGGAGGTGTTAAAGCTTCTTTTTTAAATTTATGT